ACAGGGCTAAGTTCACAAATTTAACAGAGTAAGATGCTCATAGACTTTAATACGGCACTCTTCTATTAATTTTCATCATATAACTAAGATACTTGTGAGTTTGGACCCAAAAAGGTACAGATCACTTCCCTCTCAAATCTGGAATTCACTTGGTCAGCATCCCAGGTCTGACAGGCCCTGTGGAGAAAGCCACAAAAAAGCCCAACTCCCATGGTAGACAATTAATAAATAATGTGCAGGGAAAGAAAGCTTCTTCCCAAAAACTGCTGCAAGAGCAGCATGAACCAGAGCATAAGGCACACTGCTCAGGAACAAGATCTGGACAATCAGAGTGCCAGAGGTCTCAGATGTCTCAAGTCATGTGTCTGTCAAGAAGTCCAGACACAGATAAAGTACCTAAGAAAACAGGTCTACGACAACTGAATGTCTTCCTTCCTACCCATACAGCTATTCAGCCCCTTTCCAATGCTCCTAAAGCAGTATTTTGAACATAACAGAAATACTTCTACAATGTAATTAAAGGTATTGTATAACATCCATTTTTATTAGAAGGAATCATGGACAGCACTAGCTAACTTATTTTATTGTTATGATAAAAATATTCACATCTGTATCATACTCCTCTCTCATCTTGCCTAAATCAAACATTCTAATTCTTCTTAGAAACCTTTTCATGCCCGATACATTTCTCAAACGTCAAACTGTTAGTCTCTAACTGTTCACATAATTTTCAGTGTTCTTCAGTTTGCAGTATGTGAGGCAAGATTTTTCTCACAGGAAAAGAAAAATCCCATTAACATCAAACAAGAAAAAGATTCTTTCTTCCAGAACAGCCGGTCATAACAAGGCTAATAAGGCATATTTGCAAAAGTTGAGTAACAACTCTTTCCCAATTCTTCCTGATGTTAATAAATTGCATGTGTTTGCCCAAAGCACTGCTGTGACTTTTGGAAAAATCCATACCAGCTGAAACCAGCTAGTTCAGAACAGAAAGGCTCATCACTTTGATTCCTGTGTTGTGGTCTCTTCCTCCCAAGACCACCCAAACAAAAACCGTGAAAATCTGCCAGAATTCACTTGTTTTCATTTGTGTATAGTCAGTCAGCAGTTCACTGTGAATTATTCATCTGCTTAGTCTCAAAAATAAACCTTTTATCTTTGACTACAGCAGACATAAAAACAAACTATATAAACAAAAGATTAATCATTAACTAGAAAATATATAGAATATTTTTGCCTGAACAGTTTTAGGCAAAGGTTTCAGGAATATTAATAAATTTTATATGTTTTAAAATCTTAGTATCTAGGTCTTAAAAATATTGTTGAAATGACACTAATAAAAGCTTGGGAAATAGGATATTTGTCTCAAACTTTCCTTTTGCTGCCTGTGGGCTTGTGTCAGTGCCTTCTTTTTTTCAATTTTAAATTGCTCCCAGATTTCTTCCTCCATGTAGACCAACATGATTGAGGAGCAAGATTAAAAATGCAATACAGTTCCTATTAAATAGTTACCTGAGGACAAAGCAAACAGTCAACAGGCTTATCTATGTTTGAAGCATAGACTGGAATCAGAACATGAACAGGATAAGCATGGTTATCAGAATCAGCTGAGTCATCACCAACAGAAAGATTGGTCAATTAAGGACTCTGTCAGAAGACAAATAGGAAATTTAACTTTGTCTAAGAATTGTACTTCTATTGCTGTGTGCTTCTAGTCTTCATTATCTTCCAAACTTTCCATATCATATACTAGCCAAGTGCATTTCACCAGTGCATGTCAAATACTATTTAAATACTGATTCTATGTGCTTGTACCACAGCTTTCAGAGATTCAATATTGCTACCTGTAAAATCACATTTTCCTTACACATTTCAGCAGTAGGATCCCGTTTGTGCTAGATGACAAGAAACTGGGGTGTGAAGCTATTGCCTCACAAACAAGAATGCTCAGATAAAAACTGTCTCTAACTGCTGGTGTCCCTGCAGCTGTCGTGCATAGCATTTTACCTGGGGTTCCAGATAAGGCAGCTTGAGCTCCTGTCAGAGTCAAGAGGCCACCTTCTTTCAGATGTTTTGTGGCAAGGTGGCTGGAAATAGTTGATGTCCAAACACTCTGCTTCCACATCAGATCACAGTTTTTGTATAAGGCTGATTAGGAAGAGAATTAGTGAAATTAGCCAAAGGAAGAAACAAACTCTGATTTCCTCACTGTTACAGAGTGCAACAACACTATGAAAACATGCTTTCTACAATTTTCTACTCATTTATGTCTTTTGGATCTCCTTTCTGTTTGAGCCTGTAACAGCCAAACCAGAAGGGGGAAGAAAGGGACACATTTCACCAGAATTACTCCATACAGAAAACAAGGCTATTTTTCTTCTTTTGTCTCTACAGTTGTGGGTACAAATTTTATTATGAATATTACATGTTTAAAGGCCTCTTTTTAATCTGAAGGATTTTCTGTAGCATGATTAGGCAGTGGCCTCCAATCTTGTATTGCACAGAAACAGCTCAGAGAGCTGCAGGAAGCAACTGAGGTTTTATGCATAAAGCAACGTCTTAGGAAACAACATCAATGGGTGTTTTGTACCTTGCCTGACACAGGTAATCTCAGCAAAAATCAGCTCATAGATAACAATGCTGAGCTCTGTCAGAAAGCACATCAAAACTTTCTGATAAAAATTAGTGCATAACAAACATTACTGAAGAAACTAAGTGCTGTGTAAATTTACAGAAAGCAAAAATTCAGAGAAACCCTAAGAATCACCGTGACTAAGCTATTTTGTACTTCTACGTTTTTGTCCTCTTCTGGACTCAGGAAGAAAGATTTTAAGGACTTCTCTCAGATATCATTCATGTTTTCACCAGCACATCTGTACCAAAGGCTTACACTTGGCTTTGGCGCTGCCTCCAGCCCATCCTCCTGCTACACACAGGATTGCATCCACCTTTTCTTCACCAAGAAGTTTTCCAACTTCTGCTGTCACCTTTAACACAAAGAACAAGAACATACTGAAAACACTCAATTGATAAGGTAAGGAGGTAATCACCGTAAATGCCTTAAAGCTACTTTTTCCTACTTATGTATCTGAGGACAGGACACAGCAATTTAAACAGCTATAGAAAATTAATAATTATGATTCATGAACTCAAACCAAATTTTTAAACTGTGTTTGAAAATACCTATAGATGAAAGTCAGATGAATGAAAGCCATAGAGTGTGTGATGTCACTGGAAATAAGTGATCATCAGGGCTGAAACACCTTGACCCTTACCTCTATTATTAACAAAAATTGTTATTGACTTGCTTTTGACAGCTTCTCTTCCAAGTACGATGTTGTTCAAGATGGGAAATGAAACTCCCAGTCTGACCAGGACTACTGGTGTCACTTTTGATAACAGTGCAAGAAAAACAAGTAAAGGTTACCTCCTTATTGCCTCTCTGTAGAGTGCAACCATCAGTTTGAGTCTGGCCACTAAATCTGAGCTTGTATACTTCTAGATATCTATAATTTGTTCTCTTTCAAATATAAGACCTCTCAGCTGGTAACAAATTTTCTGTGTCAAAGCAAATAGCAACAATCCATCTCTCAACAAGTGAAGAAGAGCCAATAGCTTTTGCAAACTGTATTGTAAACATGTTATGTTACTCCTCCAAAACTTTAGGAGTTGTATAGATATAAAAAACCCATCTTGGCTAGATATTCAGTATATCAGTAACAGAAGTTGGTTCAACACTTGAAATGTAAAAAATTAACCTTATCTACCAAGAATAAAGCAAAATACTTTTTTAGGCTGACTTCAATTCTCCCACATCCACGTTTGTGGAAACAAGTGCATTCCCCTAGGGATCCCTTGGGGCTTAGGTTCATGTCCTTTGAGTATGCCATCTACTTATGCACAAGACATTTTTAAGTTAAGGTATTTGAAATAAGTGCTGCATTTTAAGATATCCTTATCCATCTTCATTATAACTCACCTGGTTAAGTCTGTGACTTTTAAAAGTCAAGACAAAAACAAAGCAAAACAGCCTTATGTGCTAAGACTCCAATATCCCGGATCAAGCTCCTTCTGTGTATTCAGTTAAAAGGAATTACAACAAAATAAACAGAAGGGACGAGCAGAACCCGAAGGACCTTGAGGTTCGCGGTACGGCCGCACGACCGCCACCGACCGCGCTGCTGCGTCCTGCGTGGAGCCGGACCCATCCTGCAGCCGCCTTGTTCACCGCGGGCAGCAGCGAGAGAGATGCACAAACCCCCGGGGGAGGCTCCGTGCATCGCCCGGCCGAGGGGACGCGCACCCCCGGGGAGGCTCCGTGCATCGCCCGGCCGAGGGGACGCGCACCCCCGGGGGAGGTTGGCTGGTGCGCCGCTCCACCGCCTCACCCGGCACCGGCCGCCCCGCTCCCGCCGCCGACCCACCTGCTCGGCCTGCTCGGGGAAGGAGTCGGTCGCTCTCACCACCACGTTGGCGCTGGCGTCCGCGTTCTCCGCCAGGTCGATGCTGGCCACCCACTGCCGCGGCGAGAGGAACGGCGCGTTAGCGGCCCGCGCCCCGCAGCGCCCGGCCCGGCCGGGCACGGCCGCTTCCCCGCGGGGCTCCCCGCCTCACCCCCTCCCGGCCCGGCGCTTACCCAGTTCTTGGACTTGAAGTAGCGCACGCACTGGGAGCCCAGCGCCCCCCTGCCCCCGTAGACCAGCACCCTGCGTGCCGCCATGCCCGCTGCTCCGGCGCTGCTCTCCCCGGCGCGGATGGGCCGCCCCACGGGCGGGCGAGGGGCGGCAGCTCCGGCCGTGGGTGGTGCGAGAGGCGGGGCTGGGCTGGGCCGTGCGGAGTGAGGAGAGAGAGGAGGAATCCCAATGCCTCGGCCCAGCCACGGCAGGAGCCTTGTTACTAGTCCCCAGGGCTCCTGTTAGTCGGTTAATGAATTAATTAATTCGTGGTTCTGAAGGTCCTGCCAGGGCTCGGGTAGCAGTAACCGTAGAAGGGCGGACAATTACGGCGGGTTTTCTTTAGCGCTCATGGATCGCACCTGTCGCTTGAGTTGCCCCTCATGAGTGCCCCGATCTGCGGCTCGGCTGGCCCGGCCACCCCGGCTGCCGGGGACTTCGTGCGCCCCGCTGGAATTGAGAAGATTGCAGAGCCATCGTTTGTGTCCCTCAGACAGCCCTGCCTGCAGTGACATTTAGAGGCTGGGTGGGAGCAGGCGCCGGGAAGCTCAGCACGGCTCAGGCGACTGCAGAATCCTTCAGCCAAGTTATGCTGTTTTGATGCTTTGTCCCTCGCATATAGATATTTACCCACTTTTAAAAATAATCCAATAAACTGGATTCTTCTTCAAATTTTCTTCACATGAGGTTGTAGTAAGAAACTTGATGTCATTTGAGCAGGACAATTAAACCCCTGAGGAAATATTAGACAGGCCATAGAGATAGGATTACTTGCTACAAAGAAGCATCACCCCATTACAATATAATGAAGCCCTTACTTGCAACCATTTCAGGATGTTGTTGCAGCAAAATGTATTTTTTGCCTTGATTTTTAACCATACAGATTAATTACTGGACCTTCAAATTGCAAAGAGAAGTATCTTGAAATGTCTGGTATTCAGCTGTGGATTTTGGAGCATGATGAAAAATGGGAAATACGTCTGACTCCCGCAGAGAGGGCTTGGAGATGATCCCTTGAAAGCACTAGGATGCCTGGCTGCTTTAAAAAGACATTATTTGCCTTGGCTTCTCTAATAAGTTTTGTGTCTTTTATCTTGATTGTTGTTGCAATGGGGATCCCAAAGTGGATGACTGGAAAGATCCTTTGCAAAACAGGAGCTGATTTGGTCAATGCCACAGATCCAGAGCTGGTCAAGTTCATTGGAGAAATTTACTATGGACTCTTTCGGGGTGGCAAAATACGCCAATGTGGCTTGGGCGGGAGGCGTTCCAAATTCACAAGTAAGTACAATTTTGGTTGAATGTTTAGTCTAATATCTAGTTCAAATTTAACATTCTATTATTTTTGTTTACAGAACTTGCAGAATGCAAATTTGTATTATTAAATAAATATGTAGTCTTTATGGTTTGACATTTGGAGTGTGAATATAAAATTTCTATCATTTCATGAATGCCTTTTGCTACAGTTAGATTCTGTAATCCTAGAATCAAGCTGGGGAAAAAGATCCCTAGGGATAGATGGAGAGTTTCCTTTTAGCTTTATGAAGGGGGTGAAAGTCATTTGGAGATAACCCTGTAAATCATACTTACCCCTTGAGTGACTTTTTCCATGCCAAGTTTTGCTCTGCCACTCCTCTGCCTCTGCCCTTGCCTCGTTGTTGAACTCTTCTGAGATTTTTTCCCTTTAAGAAGCAGAGATTTATTTAGCTGGACACATTTCTGTATTTCTCTGTCTGTCCTAATGCAAATGTCTACTATAGCACATATCGCTAACTTTATTAACATGTTGAAGAAATTCTTTTCTATTAAATTGGGAGACAAAAATTGCTGAACTTTTAATAAATGTAGCAACTCTTCTAAACATATTCCTTTTAACATAAAAGATTTTCTTGGGGTCTTGAAAGCACTGAGCTGTACTCTGGATGATTTCCAAATTTCACGCATCCTGTTCTGTAGTGAAAATGGTAATTTGCATTGAAGATTTTTATTTCAGTGTACAGATTTACTGAAACTTAAACCAATATGAGTTGAAGCTGTTGCAGTCTCACCCTCATCCTGTCCTGTCCCATCCTTTGCAATGGCTCTGGTAGTTGAGGTGAGGTGTTTCAAAAGTTAAAATGGCCAAAAATTTAGCCTACAAAAATAAATACTTGTTTGGCCATAAGATTATGTCTGACTACACAACTACACAAGCACTTCTATAAAAATTTGAAGGCAAGTGTGACTGTGGGACTTCAGAGGGAATATAGAAAAGAACCAGAGCAACCTCAACTTAGACCAGCAAGACCTGTTGTTAAACTGGATGAATTTGGACTGGTCAAGCTCTGACTGCAACTGCAACTTCATGACATGGACATAGCAGTCATGCTCATCCAGGCCCAGTTCTTTCACCCCATCCCGGCAGAGAGAATGAGGAAAACTCTGTACAGCTTTTTGGACTATTTAATGAACTTTCTGATTTTTTACTGTGCAACCTGAGTGGAAGGCATAATGTTCCACAGTCACTCTGGAGTACATTGATATGCAATTGCAGGACGTGAGCTGGCACTCCTTAGACAACCAGAGCTCTCACTGAAGCTAGTAATAATTCTCTCCTAAAATTATTATTCTCTGTAATAATTATAGTTATTATTATTATTATTCTCTATAAAACATTAAGTGCAGTAGGCACAAATATACATTTTGGTCAACAAGGATTCCAGAGATTTTCCCTTTTAAATATTTTACTAACTCTACTAAGTTTGATATTTTCACAATACTGTTTTCAAACAACAATACACAAAGCAGATACTTTTGCACAATGGTAACCAGGACTCAGGGTTCTGAGTTTGACTTGACTTTTTTTTTATTTGAATGTCCCCCTTAATCTCCAAGCATTCTGAATTTACTGGGGTGCAAGAACTGTGAGAGTTTTCATGAGGAATGTGACAATATAAATGGATTTCACTGGCACCATAGATGAAGACAAAGCTAACACATAATATGGTGCAATATTGCAGTACCTCTGACACTTCAGAACTTCAAATTACAATAATTTACTGTTATTGGTACATCCCCTTTCGCTCTGTTAACATTCACTAGAGTAGATTTATGGCTGGCACACTCTCTTTTAACTGGGACAGTGACTCCATTGCCCTAACAGGTGTCTACTTGCTCTTTTGTACTCCTCAAGATGTATCACCTGGCCTCCAGCTGCAGCTTCTGGAAGTGTCCTATCCAAGTGCAGCATGTATGTTAGACCCACAGGGTTGTTAGGATGGTCCTAAGGCACCTAAGCTGGCATAAGATGCTTCTGTTTTGACAATTGAGTCAAGCCCTGAGAACAAGCTGGGGAAGCCACACTTTTTGCCTGTGCACAGCAAACGCTGCTGGATTGTGTCAGGAGTCTCCATGGCAATATCCTTCTCATGGATTCTTATTTCTGTGTACTAAACCAGACTCACTGGGCAGGTGATTGGTATTTGGCTACAAGACTCAGAAAAGAGACCAAATAATCCTTACAACTACCTTAATATCTCTGATGGTTTGTAAGGAGGCTTAATTCCATCTGCTTTGTTGTTGCACTGCCAGTTATTTTCATCAGAAAGCAACCTAGTTTTTAGATTCCCATTTCTCATATATACTTCTGATTCTCATTACTCCCCTGATTTCTTTTTGTCAGTGTCTTCTGCAGCTCTTCTGTGCACCAGGTTCATCTACAACTCCAGAAGGAGCTACTGAAAGGGTAGATTTGTTGAATCACATAATTTTTGTATGGGATTTGTACATATTTATTTTTTCTACATGATCTACTATAATTCTGTCCTGTCACGATCAAATTATATGCCTGAAGTTCATGGTGACATCTACCAACTATTGCTGCCTACTTTTTGGGTGGCTTGTTTGGACTTTGGGTTTTTTGTCAGTTATGTAGTACAGGTAGGAATTTATTTATTTGTTTATAATACAGTATACCTTCTTTGTAGTAAATGTAGTAATTAGGCAGCACATTTTTCAGAATATGTATGAATTGCAGTGCTATGCTAGCTGAAGGTCTGCTCTTGATCACCTTGCATTTTAGGGTTCCTCTCAACCAGCTTCTCTCTTTCCTGTCAGTCAACATCACCTACAATTCCCTACTCACATTTCTTCTGATTCTAGAGGGCTGCAGGATAAACTAAATACTCAGGTGTACATTTCCTGCTGCTGGCCAATCTGGCCCTCCAACAAAGGAACTGTGTTTGTGAAGACAGAACTAAGAATATTACTGTTCTCAAGAGACAAGTGTCAGTCTGCTGAGGGAGAGCTTGTGCCTGTAGCAAACCATGGCAGCGCTTCACCTAAAGCCCACCTGACTGCAATACTTTACAAGCTTCCTACATCAGTGGCTAAAACACTGCCAGAAGCCCAGAAAAGCATAAAAGGGCCAGAGACAGTAGATGAGAAACAAAGAAGGGAATTTTAAAGGGCAAACCTGTGGGATTAGGATGTATGAAATCAGGGCAGATCTCACTGGAGCCAGCAGTAAAAAGAGGATTAGGAAAAAAAAAAAGAAGAATAACATGAGAAAATAAACACAGAAAAAGGTGATACTATTTTAGGCAGCAAGGGAACAAGGAAACGGAGACTATTAGACTTCAAATGGATGAAATTAAAAGCATGAGACAGGAATGAGAAGCTCAAACCAGGAGTTTGGTACAGAGAACAGAGGTGAAAAAGAGAGAGGAAAGTATGCAGCAGACACTACAGCACCAGAGATAAAGACATTAATACTGCTAGATAAATAAGCAGGACTTCAGCCTGAATCCTTATTTACAGATCCTGTGTAGAGGATTATTCCTGTAGAACAATATCCCTGGTTTGATGCACTGAAAAATAAAGCATCAGGAACTGAGATGTGTGCAACTAGCTGAATTCCACATCTCCATTAAAAAAACAGTCTTCCTTAAAATATAAGTTGAATTCGAAGCACCAGCACAGTGTGATATTTACCATCATCAAGAAAACCAATACACTGAGTAGACAATTTATTTTTTCTTGACAGTTTTCCCACACATGGTGAAAAAGCTGAATACAGGCCTGCATGTGATGATCATAATGTTCCTCTGTGTGGCCATTTTCTTTTCTCTGGTCAGTTTTGGATTCTGCATTCTTAACGCAATAAAAGTTCCTTACCGGGCTATTAACGGTCCAGCAGGAGCATGTCTTTGGAACTTCCTTGCAGGTAAAGTAATTTTCCAGTGTTTTTTTGTAGTCATAGAAATTCATAGAAAATTATACAATTCATAGAAAATGATACAAGTTCCTTTCTTCCTTATGAAATACCTCTTTGATTTAAATACTTGTGAATACAATGAAGTTGGCAGTGAATTCACACCTATCAAAACAGAACTTCCAGGTGGTGTCTTGGCTTATTGTGTCTAGTTAATAGTTCACAGGAGGTATGAATGCCTGCCTTGAGGCTTTATGTCATGGATAAAAGTGTGTTTGCCCACACAATAAAGCCTAAGCATTTTGAAGGTGTTTAAGCCATGCCTTTGTCTGTCCCTACTCTGTATAGTGCTCAGTAATGTATTCAGTAAGTCTTTTGAAGCATGACTAAAGATCTGTCTTGTTTTGATTTGATAATGGTGAATACTTACTTCATTTTGTTGCAGGTGGATTTGTAGTACTTGGAGTCACCAGCTTCATGGCTGCTGTGAAACTTCATCACCTCACAGAAAGGATTGCCAATTTTCGGGAAAATGTCTTTCGGTTCGTTATCTTAGAAGAACGCTTCGAAGACTGTTTTTGGATTTGTGTGGCAAGTGCCACTGCACATGCAGTGAATTTGCTGCTAATAGCCATCAGTGGAATTCATTTCCCTAAAATTAAGACTAAAACAGAAGAAGTGAATGTTACAGCAGAAGATATCATGTACTAACAAAGCTACACAAAACTATTTTGGTCAAGTGAACTGTTGTAACAGGAACAGCTTCTTGGCTCTTCAGCCTTTGTTTTGGATAGATGATTTATGTACAAACCTAAGTAAACATGCCATTCTACAATAACAGCAACTAACATATCTGTTAAAAAACAAAAAAAACCCAAAAAACAAATACTCTAAATATAATTTTTCTCAAAACAGACTGATATCTGCAGTAAGTATATGGTGTTTCAGTTTTTAGAAAATTTGCACCTTTTTTTTTTAGAAAGCGAAGGTAAAATATTTCATCAAACCAAATGTCTTCTTTATTTAGAAAGACAACATGCTTATCACAAATCTTTCAAACTATAAGGTAATTTCAAAAGAGAAAGAATGTATATTTGGCATTTACTTTCACAGAATTGTCCAGAGCATATTAAGAAGGACGTATCTTTGATGTTACACAGCATTGAGAAAGAGAACTGTGAGGCTGAAGTTAAGGGGCAGCAAAGGCTAAATGTGTGTGTATGAAATGTTTTTAAAACAGAAATGATCCAATACCACAAGGCAAAGAAGTGAGAAATGTAAAGTATATGGGATGCTATTAGTCTGTGAAGAAAAATTTATTAGCTGCTGGATGACTGTTTTATTGCAGCTTCTGGAAGTAAACAGATTAAGGGTAATAGTGCTTTTAGATAACCTGGAAAATATTAATCTGACACATTAATTTTCTTCATAACTGTGTTAATTGTTAAGTCTATCTGAAATCAAGTAAAAGTGGTGTATGATGAAACAATATTGAAATGGATAGAACTGGCTAAATGGATGGAAAAGTTATTTTCTTAGGAAGGACCATAATTTTGACAAGGATTCAACCAGTTCATGGGTCCCAAGGAGCGAATATTTTTGAGAAAAGGATATGGAATATACCATTAGGAATGGATGCAGTGGCCTCTACCATCTCTGGTTTGGCTCTGCAAGGTTAGCAGGATTATGAATAAAGGAGAAATTTGTGAGGAAGCCTTTGCAATAGGCCCTACTAACCTATTTTCTTCAAGACACCATCAGCCACTTTTGTTTTTCAGAAGCACTAAAATTATTTTTAAAAAATTTAAAGATAGATGGAAAATTATGATGAGTATAGAGAACTGTTACAGTTTTAGTATAAAGGAGACTCAATAAAGCAGAAAAAGTTCCTATTTTTTTCCACCCTCTTGCTTCATTGTTCTTGGTGCTTTCACTCAGACTGTGCCCCGGGCCACAATTCCAGAAAGATGGTGCAATAGCCTGTACATGGATAGGCAGTAAACAAGCCCAGGCTACAAAGATGTCTTGGGTGGTAACAACACAGTACTGCCCTGAAAACTGTCCACAGGGGCCTCTGTGGTACCACCACCTTCCTCTCCCAGAAAATTCTGAGTGCTTTGAGGTAGAAAAACTTGAAGTGTGGCATAATTACACAAGTAGAAATTGTAATACTTGTCATTTGTAATTGTTCTATGAACATGTATAATTTAGACAGAGTTACTGTACAGAAAGAGTTATATTGTGACATGTAATTTAGCTTTTACTAAATATAATTCTCTTCAGGAAGTGAGAAGGAAGCAGATTCTTATATCCTCCATACTGAGTGATTGCTGTGAAAATGCTTTTCACTAGTATTAATATGCATGCATGGCAACACATACTGATAGTGAACTGCTTGATGGTCCCTAAATTTCAAACCACTCCAAAAATATCACTGAATAAGAATCATGGGACTATTTAGGTAAGCACAAGATTAAAGATTTGTTGGAGTGGATTCCTAGGTAGGTCACGGTAGCTCTGAGCAAACCTGTAGAATGCACTGTATACATGAAGTTAAAGGGGATAACTGGGCTGATGAGCACTGTAATTTCTTGGTTTGACTCAATTCAAGAATGGAGCATACTCTGCAGTAAAGGTCCAAGAGAAGATTTCTGTTACAGCAGACCTGCAAAGCGTCCTTGTGGGATACTGTAGCTGCACAAATTGAATGACCAAATAATATTATCACCCAATCACTGTGTTGTGACCCGTGAGAAAATAGTATTTTCAGTTCAGAGTGAACAGAAGTATTGCCATGCATGAACTAAACTTCATGAAGCAGATGTAAGACTAAATTAAACTTTCAGCTGCACAGGTTGTCTGAGTTTTACCACTCCTAAGATACACTGATAGGTCAATGCGTGGAATATTTGCCCTGGGATATTTTGTCTGGAGAAAAAAAGGTTAAATGCAGGCATACATATTTGAAATGTACAATTACAAAGCCCACCCTGGGGTTAACAATAGGTAAGTTTATCACTTAGACCTTTTCAGCTTTCCCTTGTACATCATAAACTAATTTCAAAAATGTGCAATTTGATATATGTGGTCTACTTTATTTACACATTTGTATTATGCTTCACGTAGTGTATCTGATCATATGCATGCTCAACATGTAGAAATGAGCACTTCTCTGGGGGCACTTCTTACCTTGGAAGATTTGAAATCCCAGATGAGAACATTTATGAATAATATCTACCCAGAACTCTGAAGCTATTATGGGCCCAATGCTGTCTTTCCATAAAGTTAAAGACAATTTCATATATCCCAGAAATACCCACTTAATTTGTATGTACAGAATAATATATAGAAACTACATGAATGTGGAGAAGCTATGGAGCTATGGAGTCCAAGAGCCTTGCCAAAATAAATGAAGCTGAAAATGAATTACCTCTTTGATTCTTTAAATAATATTGTAGTTTAATGTTAAAAAATGTATTTTTACAAGATAAATCCAATTGGATGCAATTTTCCTCAGTCATTGTTTCTGAGTGCTGCTGACCTTAATAAAACATGATATTTGTCCCTGCACCACTTCATGGAAAAAGCTGTGAGTTGGGAAGTGCAATGGACTCCTAGAGAACAGGCCCATGTTCTGCTTATCTAACAGCATAACTCCACTTAAAGATGTATGGAAAAGCAAACATATATATTGTTATACATATTGTCATAAGGTGTCTTATTGTCACATATTAAAATGAATTACTTAAAATCTATGCTTTACACTTCAGGGGCAGGGAAAGAAACAAAAAATATGTCAATCACCTGAAATTAAAATCCAGTGCATGTTCAATGCTCTTCAGAGTGACAATACAGAAACTGTCAGCAAACTCCAACCAGTTCTTTTCCTTGCAGTGCTTTTGCTGACCATAAATCTACTTCTGATATTGCAGTGATAACCCTGCATTCTGTTGTGAATCCTTCCCTTCCCTTCCCGTCCCTCCCCTCCGTGCTGCCCTCCCCGGTGCCATGCTGCTGCCCTGCGTGCGGAGCGGGGCTGCGCGCCGCCTCGCCCGGGACGTGCCCCGCGCCTGCAGCTGCTCGGCGCAGGGCCCCTCGCCGCGGGGCTACAGCCGCGGCGCGGCCGGCAAGGTGAGCGGGGAGCCGGGCGGGGGCTGCGTGTCCCTTCCGCGCTCGGCTCGGCTGAGCCCCCCGTGTGCCCCCCGGAGCTGTCAGGAGCGGTGCGGCTCCCTCCGCTTCTCTTGGATGTACCAAACTGGAGGTCTGCGCTGGCGGGGAGAAACTTTTGTACTTAAAATTACTGATTGAAAGAGTTTTTGTCTTTATGTGATCGGCAAAATTATTGTAAGTTCACTTATGCTGTATCTGGCTTCCTTTTCACACTTTAAAGTAGTTGTAGTAGTTGATCCTGGTTTACAGAACTGTTACGCTGTGCATCATGTGAGATAAATTGAAAAACTTAGATAAATGCATACAGAAGTAGCAGTGGTTTGAACACTCTTTACTCTCTGATGGGTCTCTAAATTCCGTGTTGTTTACATTAACGTGTGTCCTTTTCTAGGGTCTTGTTCTGGGAGTCTACTCAAGTGAAAAGGATGATGGTGCTGCCCAGTTCACTAGTGCGGGAGATGCTTTTGATAGGCTTGTGTCTGGAAAGCTGAGAGCACTTCTGTCTCTGTAAGTGTGTGATAAGCTTTTGAAATGGACCAAAGTACCTACAAATACCAGTAGGAATGACTTTTTTTTTTTTTTTTTTCGTTATTACTGTCTGTGTTCATATCGCTGTCAGGCTGCTATTTGCTTTGACAGTTTGGAGGGGAGCTCCCATGATAAAACCAGTCACTGAGCAAACATGCAAAAATTTCATGGGAGCTGTCCTCTGCTCTGAATCAGCACAGAGCCAAGCATCCAAGTGCACTGCGTGGTCGTGGAGTAAATGCAGTACTGTAAGATTGATCACAAGTAAGGCCTTCTGTATTGAAAGAATCTTTTTGTGTCCTAGATGTGGGCCACCTTTGAAGAAAGGGAAAACACGTGTATTTCATGGTTTGCATCAGGTACGAACTTTGGGGTTTTGTATAATAGTTGATTGATGTGTAAAGTTTTTCCTTACATCTAATTTTATGCTGAGTTCACTGCTTGTATGAATGGATAGCTCTTCTTCCCTCTTCTTGACTGTTTCAACTCCGTTCTGCATGGCCCATGTTTGCACAGCCTTTTGCACAGTTCTGTACTCCCTCCAACATGCTGCAAATGGAGAGGATGTGAACAAGTCTGCTCCAAAGGTGCTGTACTCTGAATAGCTGCTCTTGAATGAGCTAAAGCATGGCAGTTTTGTATCTGACTTCTGTGCCTCCTGTGTCCAGGAGGGGTGAGTCTGTGAGGAGTCAGTCTGATAGGTGCAAAGAACTGCAAAGTTCCAGACTGACAGTTCTAAGACAAGGTAGTCCCTTCATAGGCTTTTGTCAGAGGTTTTAAGTCAGGTGCTTGAAACGTCTGAAAACAAGTTATGGGGCTGTTCTTCAAGCAGGCATAATAGGCTATGAGATGAGGATTCATCTGCTCAAAGTCAGGCTTTTGGTTCCATTTGAGAAGCTGGGATAGAACTAATGCACATGTGTGAAGCTGACCAACATGGAATGATTTGTGCCTTTTGGAGTCCTAGTAAGGCCTAGGCAGGTATGTGATGTGACTTTAGGTGTTTCTCTCTAAGCAACTGCTTCTTACATTTAGGCTATTTAAATAATCTGAAATAAATCCATTTGTAGTGAGAATTGCCTACCATGTATAAATTCCTGTGTGGACACCCCACGCAGGTGACACCGGACTTGGTAAAAAGGCTCTCAGAAATTTCATGGGATTT